AATGAATAAATACAGTGCTAGTCTATTTCGGTGAGCCCATGGTTTTACCAGCAGATTAAACTCTCAGACAGCAGAGCAGTGCTGCTCACTGGACTACGAACAATAAACACTAGAGTGCAGTCTATTCAGAGCGATGATGTGACTATTTTGAACTATTTGGCAGTAGATGGGTATGAGCAAACCACCTTTCATAAAACAGATATTAAAGTCCCCCACCACTCAAAAATCAGTTTTTCCCCTTGTTCCTACAGTGTGATGTTTGAATTATGTGCGTGCAGAGTTTGACACTAGAAGGATGTTTTCACATTCATCTGTTGAAAGTGGAAAGTTTCTCTGTGCTCATTGAAAACCTGATTGTTCAGGGGGCGAGGCCTATGAGCATGACATCACAAATAGGGGAGTGGCTTTCTACCAGGGGCTGGCTGTCAGTGTCCTGGTCAGGCTGCACCACTGACCCCCCCTGCCCAGTGTCGATTGGAGAGACAAACAGGATTACAGCCTCGACCACGGAAAGCAGGATTTCCAGGAACCGAGCCTTGCAGTGCCTTTTATCTCACGCGAGCATTAATCGCACTGGCAGCAGTAAATTAACAGTGGACAAGGAACAAATCTGACTGAAGCTCTGAAATTCCACAATTCCCAACAATACAACACCAGGAATCACCCATGTGAAAGACCTCTGTCACAACATTTATGTCCATGTGGGCTCTGTGAGTGCATATGTGGGTTATGGGGCCAAGAAGGCTATACTCCATGTGGGCACTCACCCATGTGGGCCCTTTGTGTCCATTTTACAGTATAGCAGCTATGGATTTGCTTTCCCCCAGTGGGAAAAACTGGGCCCCAAGTGGGATATCTGTGGGCTATTGTGCAAATTTAAATCGTAAAGTTGCTTCTCTGTTGTTGCTTTTTACGTTTTTCCTCCCAACGCCAGCGCCAACAATGAATAAAGTAATTTAAATGAATAAAGAAAGAATGAACTTTTCTGGTTACATCTAAGGGCTCTTCAAGCTGCCTTCCCCTCCATCAGGTGCTTCTATTTCTTCTATCTTTCTTCATCAGTTAAGATCTCCTACATGAAACCTGCCTACATAAAAAATAGAACCACAATCATTGTGGTATACAGGACAAAATGGTGGACTTCAAGGTCTTACCTGTGTGCCTGTCTACTCTTAAGCAACGTCAATTATTTAACAAGCGAGGGAAGCTGAGGGAGTGAATTACTTAAAAGAGCACCCTGTAACCCTCGTCTTCCTGCTCGTGCATCAGTCAGACCACTTAAAAGAATAACAAATCCACCTCAAACAACATTCCATTGGACAAAAAAGCTATTAGCAATGAACTCATCTTCATGCCCATTTTGTTGGGGGGGTTTTGTGCATATTTTTGGGAGTGCGAAAGAAACGGAAAAGATTGGAAGGACCTTCAGCCATTTTTACAGGAACATGTTACTCTCTTGTATATGTCTTTATTTATTATTCTCTAAATTTGGATAGTAGTCACTGTAGGCAGGTTTTGCTTTTGTATCACAGCAGGAAGAAATATGAACACGTGCCAGGAGAGCAACAGTGTCAATATTGAGTTGTGCCATGTCCAGATGCTTCCAAATATTTTTGCTGTTCTGTAGGAATGAGGGAGATTTTTCATCCATTCTATTACTTATAAAGTGAAACCTGAACAGCTTACATCAAGCCTCGTGTTTTGTCTAGCGTGGGCGCCTCCAAGGGGGGTCCAGGGTCTGATACTAGATATTGAGAGCTACCCTGTGCCCTGGTAATATTTATTTAAATCAGTTAATTAAATGAAATGTATATTTTTTAATAATAGCTCATGTAAAAGAAAAAAACAAATGTATAGCCAGCCGCAGCACTTTTGACCCTCCATCACACTGTGCCACCCTGAGATTTTCAGTGGCCCCATCTGGCCACCCCTATGTAAAACTTCTTCTTCTGTCGATTGGAGCTGAAATGATCAGCCGAGTAATCAATTAATCGTCAGCAGTTTATGTGGGTTCTCAATTGTGAATATTATTAGTTTTTTTTCCCCTTAAATCTTTGGTACCCTATTAAAACGTGCTACCAGAGGTACAGTCAGTCTAACTACCTTAGGTATAATGCTTTCATTAAGATTAATATGGTTAAAGGTACTGTGCAGGTGTTCAGTGTTTTTTATTTTTATTCCAATATTTGTGATGAATTAGCAATAGCAACATATATATCAAAAGCTTTAAGTTTTTAGCATGGATAACCAAAATACTGGCACCAAAATTGATTTATTCTTTTTTTTTTTTTTACAGTGTACATTATACAAAAATATAGAGTACCAAAACTTCACAGTGTCCAAAAGGCAGTGTTAAGTCAAATCACATCAATCATATTCAGCAGAAGTGTCCATTTAGGGATCAATTGGCGAATTGCGAAGTTACTGTATCCCATGTGGAATGTTGTTTCAGACTTCACTGTGAAGAAGGCTGTCGAGGCCTTTAAATACAAAACAACGCGTGCTTTGACAGAAAAAGTGAGGCTTCCCCCTCGAAAACCAATATTTCCACTGTTCGGGCCAAAATCAGACAAACATATTTGTACAGTTTACACAAACATGTACTGTATATTCATGTAAGAGTGTTAGTGCATGCAGTCGCTCGTATGCAAGCACCCAAACGTGAACACGTATCATCAGGGCTGTTTGTTTCATGCTACATAACACTGCGAATTGTGAGAAAACACCTGAATTCATTTCTTGGTATTTACAGTTTAGAAACACAACATATGCATTATACATTTTACAGCACGGAGTAACTTAAATATTAACAAGACTGTCTTTAAAGCCTCTATGTGTAGATTTTTGTGATCATCGAATCCTTTATATTATGGTGACAGTGTACATAAATTAGGCAATCCCACTAAAATTTGGTCGGATTCTTAAAGGACCAGTGTGTAGTTGCAGATTACAACCTCCTCGCCTCACCCTCCCATTCTGGTGTGTAAGAGAAACTGCAGTAGCTGTAAGTCGTGGTGTGCAATAAGGCCCTATAGAGCCAGAGTTTGGTTTGTCCATTCTGGGCTACTATAGAAACATAATAGCCTCCATGGGCAAGCTTTAAAGGTCCAGTGTTTAACATTTACACACTGGATCATGTTTCTACAGTTGCCCAGAATGGATAAACCAAACACTGGCTCTAGATAGGGCCATTAGCATTTTTCACAGCTACCATAGCTTCTGCTTTGCGCTTGGAAGGGGAGGGTGAAGTGAGGGAGTTGCTATCTGCAACTACACCAATAGATGCAACCAAATCCAACACAGACTGGTCCTTTAATGGTAGGGCGTGCAGTATTTAATCAAATCCTACACAGAGAGGCTTTAATAGCTTGTAAAAATGTTTTATTTTACAATTGTGGAATTTCAGAATAATTTTCAAGACGTTTCCTGTAAAGAAAGTAATTTGGTACTAATTATAGGGAAAATAGAAATGGTGTTCAATTGGTCCCAATGAATTGTTGCATAACCTCAGGAGTCAGCTGAACACGCTAAAAACATACAAGATAAATGTCACAACATATTTCTACAGGTAAGCATATTCAACATATATGGAGAATACATTATAGTTACAGTTCCATTACGGTTCCTATAAGGGAAAAATGAATGAATGAAGTGAAAGCCATTCCTTTTTTCTCTATAATTTGAACCAAATTTCTTTGTTTTTTCCAGAATATTACTTGGAAATGATTCTAAAATTACAGACCCCTAAAACAAGACATTACCAAATTTGTATATCACAGGGAGCCTGTAACACTATTGTAAGTATAATGTCAACATCATCACAAGCAACAGAAAGAGCACTGTAATGCTACGCACTCTGAGCATGCATACCTCATACACAATACAGACAGCCATTCATACTCCCATTCACATCTATAGACAATATCGGGTATCTAGTACATCTACATGTTTTTGGACTGTGGGAGGAAACTGGAGCACCTGGAGGAAATGCATGCAGACACTGAAGAGTGTAAAACGCCAAATATTAGTCTTTTGTTCTCTTCAGATTTGCTCACTGTTACTTGTATTCAGAAATGTAAGACAAAACTCAGTTATAGTCGCCTTGTTTTTCTTAATTGGCAAAACTAGTGTTCAGCATATTTTATCAAAAACAAAACTCAAAGTTATAACTTATTACACTGCTGCAAAACATTTTCTACATGCAAAAAAAGTCTTATAGATGTTTTTCCTGCTTTTGGGCAGCCATTGTTTTCCATTCATTTCAGTACCCTATAAAAACTAAATGTAGAGACTTGAAACCTGCATGAGCAAGTTCATCCATCACAGTAATAAACATTTCTGGGTTACCTTGTCGTTGTATGGTTCTGCAGTTGAAAAGTGTGGATTTGAAAAGCCTGCGGTTGATTTATGGTGTGTTTATGTTCTGGTAAGAGGCTCTGAAATATATACGGTTACAGCTGTATTAGATTTAGTGATTTTTGAACATTAAAGCTGCAGTTGGTAAGTTTTATATACATAACTTTTTGTCATATTCGCTGAAACTTATTACTATATCCTGATAGTAGTACATGAGACAAATAATATGTGAAATAATCAGGTCCTTCTGGCCCCTGTTACTGCTTCTAATGGTTTTTGCAAGAATCCACCGACCCTACATAGAAAGATAGTGCCCAGGTGGTCATAAACTGACACTCTGGGTGGGTGGCTTGAGGATAGTTGAGTCTCATTTAAGTGTCTGTATTTGATGAACTGGGAATGAAACTCAACAATCAACTCTCCTTCTTGGCTCTGATTGGTTGTTTTTATTCAGACGTGGTGGATTCTTGCAAATGCTATTAAAAGCACTCAGAATAGACAGAGGAACCTGATTTTTTTCACAGATTATCCGTCTCATGTACTACTGTCAGGATATAGTGAAAGTTTCAACAAATCTGACAAAAACTTATTTTTATAAAACTTACCTACTGCAGCTTTAATGCATAAACAATGCAGTGTGACTGACCAAAAAAACGCCCCATATGATTACAAAATCACAAAATTTTGCCTCAGCAGATACAGATACAAACAGTGACATCTGTGAACACCACTAAAATAATTCATAAAATCTGCTGACAGAAAAGTCAACAAACTTGCATTTTTTACAATGTACAGTACAAAGCGAGGTGTGGCAAGAATGTCCTCTTCAGTGTTGTTTTCTGATGTGGACTCTGCTAAACATGAAAATTAAAGCAATTCTCTGTTCATTTCTTCACTCCATTCACACAGAGTAAAGGATGACACATCACAGTCAGCAGTCTTTACTGATGGCAACACACACTTAAGGGTCTGAGCCAAACAGTTCACAGTATTACAGAGTCCTCTGAATCCACCTGCCGAAAATGAGGAAAAGGACAAAAACAACAACCAGTTGACGAGATGAGTCCAGTGGAAAGGTACATAAAATGTCTGAAGTCCAGTTGAAGCCCTGGAGTTCTGGGTCCCACCCTGCTTCCATACTGCCCTGAGCACAAATGGAGCACCTTAGGGTGGGTGAAGTAAGAGGAAGGGGACCCCACCAATACTGTAGGTAGGTACTGGTTTCATTTAGAGAGTGAGTGAAAACATGCTTCTTTCTTAGAAGGGTAAAGGCTGCTGCATATCTCTTGCATTGGTTGCTTCTTCTTCTGCCTCAAACTAAAGAAGCAACAGTATTTTGAAGAATGGGAGAAAACAACAGGCCTGCAGCTTTCACTGGAGACTTTGCAAGTGTTGTGAAAATACAGGCATTTGAAAAAAACCAAGGTACTCAAGGTGCACAAATATCTATGAATATTCAAGCCCGTAAAACTGATAAATATATATTGTAGGCCATCACTTCTTCTTTAGATACTGCCAGAATACGAACTGCAGCATCGCTCTCATTGACTACGTACAGTCTGTGTTCACTGAATGTTTGGATTATAGAGTTGTTCTGATACCAATACCAGTATCAGAAATTCCTTCGGTACTGCCTAAAATGCAGCATCAGGGATCTGTGAGTACGCAGCCTCAAAACAGTATAGTCCCAGTATAGCAAAGCCATGACTACTCTGATTCTGACAAAGGGTTTATCCTGAGCCAAGCCATGCAACAATGACAGCAATCATACAGGCTTAGTAGTATATGCTCATTAAAAACATAAAGCACATGTATATTTTTTTTAATGCACATGTATCAGATCGGTACTCTTATCGGCCAATAGGCAAAGTTCAGGTATCAAAATTGGTACCGGGAGAGAAAAAATTGTATAAGGGAACGGAAGGCTAATATGACCAAACCCTATGTGATGGCTAACAAACATTTGCTCCACAGCACCAGCTAAAGGGTCAGTGCAATGCAACAAATTCTACAAATACAAGAAAACAATAGCATGTATGTATAATTGGTTGTATACGGCGCATATACACTTCCAGAGGAGATGGCTGCAATTCTTCACTGAAATTTCACAAGCCAGTGCTGTATGCTCTGCACCGCAAATTTCTTGGCATGCTGTAGCAACTCATTAATGAAAAACTGCACATGATGCTATAACTTCGCATCATGTAAAACAGTTGACCTATTATATAATTGAAATCCAATAATGTTACACTGAGTTGCTACACGATCAACGTTCTAGTGAAGAAATAGTTCCTCTGGTAAATAGGTCCGTGGGTTATCTAGAGTAAAGGAAAAACTGTTTCTGAAAAAAAAAATGTTTGCTTAATGTTGTTTTAGTTTCTGTCAGCAACTTAAAAACGTGGGCAAACAAAGCCAAAACTCTCTGTGTGATAAATTTAAGTGAATAGAGCCTTTAAGATGAACAGATCTACAGATTGGACTGAAACATTAGAATGGTTTTGGTGTTTACTTTAAGACTATCTTGACCAACAGGATCATCTATCAAAATCTTTTCAAATGAGGAAACACTTCAGGGTGGTGTTTGGGTTGTTTTCAGAGCCCGACCGCCTCTCAGCTGTGCATGTAGGTCCTGCAGGGGGAGTCTGGGTGGAAGTCATACTTGCTCAGGCTGGTAGGGTAGTAGGTGGTGGTGAATATGTTGCTGGAGGGCAGCGGGGAGGGGAAGTGGTTGCATGTCTCGTCATTCACGTGGAGATTGTTCTTGTTTAGTGTCTGTAGTGCAGAGACATAAAGGAAGTCTTGGCCCTCATAAAGGCAAAAATATGAACATATTTTCAAAGCTAAAACATTTTCAGTTACATTATCGTATTGAGTATAGGTATATAATGAAACAATTCAACCAGCCCACCTTAAACTCCATGGGGATGTACTTCTCATTCTTTGGCGTGGCGTTGCCCTGCTTGTTGTAGGTGAGGTGGTTGGGCGTGCTGGGGTGGATGACTGCTGACTCTGGCGCCGGTCGGTTCAGGTGGTGGCAATAGGAGTAGGCGAGTGCCGACAGTAACGCTGCTGCAAAGAAGCTGGCCGAGCCCACTGCTACCAACTGGAACAAAGTAAAGGCTGGGAGAGTAGGAGTTGGAGGGGAAGAGGATGAGACAAAGGAGAGGGATCGTTAACCAATGAGACTGAAAAATATAGTAAAGTGTTGTTTATAAGAACTGGGTTCTGCTCATGAAGGAAACTTAGCAGAGACAATGACAGATAACCAGCCCTGTAAGAGGCCCTTAGAGTCTGAATTGTTAATTTCATCCAACAGGTTATCGAATCAGCAACTTTAACAGGTTTTCCTAGCCAGACCTCTCAGCCTATTATTACATCCTGCAATATATGTGCAAGGGCAAATTTTGGTGTAAGGGTAGAATCAAAGCATTGGGGTTCATCCTCTGGGGACTTTAAATATCTACATTAAATTCGACATAATAAGGAATATTACACAATGTACAAAGTTGATCATCTGGCCTAAGAATGACACTACTAGAATAAGAGTCGTCTATTGACCAAAATGGGTAGAGATCCTCTGGAGAGCATGAGCGTGTTCAATGACAATCTAAGTTGAGTTAACTTGAGTGTGGACAGCCACAGTGGAAGGTCATGGCAATTCAAAGTTGTCAATCTGACTTAAGGGTGGCAAAATGGAAAAGGTTAATCCTCTGATGATCATTAAATAATTAATAAATAAATGCCAATCCTTGTGTACAGTGGAAGTTGAAATTATGCAATGGTGGTACTTGGGGTTTGACAACATTATAATTCACCCTGTAGGAAACATGACCATCTACGGCATGTTTGGTAATCTGGCCAGTAATTTTCAAAGGTGTCAAGTTGAGGGAAAATTTTACCTGACGGTAGTTCTAGAACAAATTTCAGGGATCAGGGGGTCTAGACTATTGTATATAGTTATACATCAAATATCACTGCTGTCTGACCAGTAAAGCCAAGATTTCTTCACTGACTGCCATTCTGAAGCCCTGCTGTCAGTATGTATGTCCATCATACTGGGACTTGAAGTCACTCTTTGGCTGCTATCTAACCTCATAAAAAGACCACACTTTGTCCAGTCCGATTCCCCATGTGGGAAAAAGCCACAAACAAAAGTCAATATACCACCAACTGTATTGTACACCTCAGGCAAAGAAGAAAGCCAATAACTTTGTAACTCTGCAACAAGAACTAGGTGTTCATCGACCGCAATTAAACCAATCTGACATAGATTTACTCTGGATGCAACAGGAGAGTGAAGGCATAAAAGCTGGCTGATTTTCTGTTGGGAATTGAGGAGTACACACCTACAGAAGGTGTCTGCAAAGTGTAATAATTTTGGGAGATAGAATTGAGAGATAATTGTTGTTTTTCCTTACTTCCACAGCTTTGGTCCTCCTGTCCGGGCAAAATAACTGGAGAGAGACAAAAGAAATTAAACAGAAGAAAAAACATCAATTTAGTAAAGTAAAATCACTACAGCTCCAAAAGATCAAACAACGAAAATGACGAGACCAGTTAATTTCTCTCAAAGGCTTCATGGTTCTCGAGGTAGGCAGAATGCTGACATCTCCATTAACTCATCTTTTTAATTTAACAAAGAATGAACAAGTCAGCATTTATTGTGTCTGATTGAACTTTTGTACGGCTCTGACTGGATCTTTCTGACTTATATCAGCAACAGCCTGCAGAAATGTACTATAGGAGGGTTGACATTATAAACCTGTTTCAGCAATTTACTAATGAAAGCATGTGCTTACCCGGCACCTCATGAGGCTGGCATGGCCTAGACTGGGTGAGGTTGCCCTGGCAGAGACTGACCTCAGCCTCTTGGTCTTCGCCACAGTGACGAGTGCGATGCTGCAGACCCTCCTCGTCACAGTCCCCCCACTCTGTCCATTCACCCCAACCTGAGGACCAAAGAAAAGAGTGGACAGAAAGAATCAAAGCTTGAGTTTGACAAAGAGAAACTGTGAGATACAGTGGTTTGTTTTCTGTCTAGGTAGTTTACAACTGTAAATTCAGGAAGTGGATTTTATTTTACTTTCAATACTTTTGGTTTTGGACACATATTAAAATGTGTTTTCTATTTCAGTGTCCAACCAGTTTTAAGCATATTTTAAAAACTGCACAATAAACAAAGCAAAAACAGACACTCCATAAATGGTAAAACAAAAAATAAATACATAAATATCCTAAAAATCTCTTGGCTTGACCCCAGCTTAGTTTAGACTACAGTTTATTGTTAGCTAAAATCAACACTGTATGTCATAAGTTAGTATCATGGATTACGTTAGTTGGTAAAGTAATTTTGCAAGCTAGTATTTTGCTGGAGATAATGCTATTGAGCAAGCAAGCTAGTCAGCCAACTGCAACCCAGCCACATTGCATTTATCCACTCAAGACTGTATTTTTCTACATTTGCTACGTTAGCTAGCAATTCATCTGCATTAACAAGCAAGCTAGACAGCTAAAACCATAATATATTCCAGAATTTTTGTCGTAATGTTAGCTTTGACTTTGTGTTGGACCGTATTGTGGCGGGTGTTGGACGTTTGTTGTCTGTTGACACTGTAGCTAAGCAGAGAGAAGCACTCGGGAGCACACATAAATGTAACATTTTTTGGATTTTTGTCAAAATTGTTGCAAGAAGTCCGTCCAAAAACTGTTACAGATAACTGAGAAAGTCGGGGAAAGTTATTTTACCAACCGTTGACAAATTGGCAATAAAAAATTAAATATATAAAAATAATGATACATAACATGCATGTATACATACATACATACGAATACATACATGCTTTAGAATCTTACATATGGCACCTTTAAATATCTTTACTTGAAATACCCCAAATACTAAGAAATACCCCAGAATTAAAAAAGGTATTTAACTAGAATTGAAATCAATAATGTAACCAGACCCAATCCATGTCCACTGGTTTTTTGAACATCCATAATAAAAGTGGTTCAAGAGAGGATTTTCCATTTTGAGTTTTGCATGTTGGCCCAAAAAGGAAAAGAAAAAGTAAGTAGCTTCTTATAATGAGATATCCTATATTGAACACTGCGTATTCAGCAACAAATTCAAGCAGCCACTGGAAGCCCCTTTATCTCCTGTGGAACTGAGTGACTGTAAACTGAAAACTGTGTGGAGGGTGTCCAAGTGTTCAGGTTGAGAAATGTTGGCCACAGCGCAATGGTCATCATCAATCAAGAGCCAGTCACAGTCCAGCCTTCTTGTGTGGCTGCTGGGGCTACTTTGTTTACTGAACAAAAGTGTAAAATAGATGAGAAGTTAATTACACCAATTTGCTCTCTGTCTCTACTTCTACAAGTTGCATGCTGGGGTCAGTTTATAAAATTTTTCTATTTTTGGACTTTCAACCAATGCATGCTGGGACAGGCTCTAACAACCACAATGTTTGCCTTCTCAACCCAAATATTGATTCACCACTTGCTGTGTGGAGGAGATTTTCCATCAGTGTCCACACAAACAGCATTATTTAATCTGGGGAGACAGCGTAAATCTACAGAGTGTATTTATGGTGCATCAACATATACACAATAAGCAGAACAGTACTTTACAAAGCAAAAAAGCAAAACAAAAATATTCACGCTGCAAATTAGGGTTAGGATGAAAAAAACTATTTCCAGTACTCAAAAGTGTGAAGTGATTCATGTTGTTCACACAACCATCATTATCACCCCACCATCACCCAGAGCTGGGTAAGCGAAAGATGTCTGTATGTAAATATTTGGACAGTTTTTTCTTGGCTCCATAGTCAATCACTTTGGACTTGTTATGAAACAATGACTATACGGTTTAAGTGTTGACTTTTAGGTTTAATTGGACAGTGTTTACGAGGCCCTTTTTACACATTTGTATACCTTAAATAGGCTTGAATGCAGACAGAAGAAACTCTGTTGCATGTTGTAGTGTGACATAAAGCGGAGTGTCATCAACATAGCAGCAGAGAGGAATATTTTGTCTGCAGATAATATAATCTAAATGAATAATATCAATAGAAAATAATGGATATTGGACACAATATCAACCCTCTAGACTCAACATTTAAAAAAAAATCTAAAATAAAATAATAATTTAATAATAATAAAATAATGCAGCTGTCATACCTTCACAGACATGAGTATTACAGAGCGCCTCTTCAGTGTGCAGGCCTATACAGATGTCTCCTCCACTGGCAGGGGGTGGATTACTGCACGTCCGAGTCCGCTGGTAGTGTCCGCCCCCACAGCTGGCCGAGCACTGGGACCAGGAGGACCAGCAAGACCAGGCTCCACTTACTGGAACACACACAATAAACTTTAATAATGTAATGTACATATTCTGCTTTTACTAAACTAAGAGCCAGAGCCTCCCTGTTACCTGGGCAGGGTGTAATGTTGCAGTCCTGATACTCCACTGGGGATCCCACGCAGGCGCTGGGGTTGGTCCTGCCCTCGGCTGACGAGCAGCTACGTTTCCGGGTTCGGAAGCCTCTGGAACACTGCTGAGAACAGCTGGACCACGTTTCCCACAGTCCCCAGCGTACACCTTGGGGCTGGGACAGAGTTCGCCCACTAGTCTTTACCAAGTCTTCAACCAGAGCTGGAAATACACAGAAAACACTTTTTATTTGCATCAATAGAAACCAAATGAATATAAAATGCACCATAAATTGTGTTTTTTCAGTTCCTTTCACATGATAAGCAATGCACCAGAGCAGCGAGAAAGAAAACAGAAAGACTGAAACAACTCACTCAGAGAAAAGAGTATAAGTTGATGCCTTTTGATCCACCCTGCTGAATGAGAAAATTGCTCAGAAAATCTAAAGTTCTGAATGAGTTGAGTTCATACAAGAACCACAGGATTTTATCTTTTTATTGCCAAACTCAGCAGACAGACAGCCTGTTATGAAACATTAATTAGTGAGGTGTAATGTGGGTCACGTTGAAAAATGAAGCAGTTTTCCCCATACACCCACCACACACACATAGGCATCCACAATCACAAATTATTTACATATGAATGAGGAGCACTTCCTGAGGCTTTCAACGAGGCCAGCAGAAATATTTCAGGTTTTTTTTCTGTAGACAAGAGCAGCTACAAAACATGAGATGAAACAATACAGTGACATTTTCACCTTGTCAGCTTTACTTATTTTGGATTAAATACCTAAACTGACTTTTTTGTATAAGACAGATTCCATAAAGGGAAAGGAAAAGCCTGTCTCTGAGGGATGAAGGAAGTGGACATGTGCTTACCCATGACGCTTCAATGATGTTTAATCAATCTGCTGCTTGATGTCTACATACAGTTTGGCTACATCTTACTTTTGAATAGACCAGCTGTGTTTATTGTGGCAAACTGGGAGCTCCGCCACCAGAAGCACTTTTTAAAGCCCAATCAGATACAGTTCCTTTCAGCAGGTTTTACAGCTACAGTATGCAAGACTGTAGAGCTAGACCAGGCTTTGCTTTGTTTTTAGACTGGTCCGACTAATTTAAACCTAAAATTTCGTTAAAGGGGCAGTTCACCCTAAATTTAAAAATACATATTTAATACAAGATTGTCTTTTTCCAGAAAGCATAACCCGGTTACTCAAGAAAACAATCCAGGCAGATTAAATAGCACTACAGGTAAGAGGAAAAATATGTATTTTTGAGTTTGTCTTTTTAAGGTGGCATCTGGTTACACCTGCAGTTTGGTAGGTAATTACCACACCAGCTGTGTTTCCATGGTAACAATCAAGAACACATGCTGGCAACTGACAAAAAGAGGAAAGCGCGGCCACACTTGTAATTTGCTAACAACACTGCAGAGCAAGAAGTGGGAAGGGAAAGAGTTGTCATGCTTTCCTGTTCCTTCCCAGTACTCACAGTCAGTCTGGCAGGCTCCAGACCCGTCATTGGGGCAGAACCGGGTCTCCGCCTTCTTCTTGCCCAGCTGGAGCTGCTGGGGGTCAGGGAGCAGCGCCCGACAGGTGTACCTGAATCTCTGCTCTTGCCTTGACCCATCTTGACTGACATTGACCGGCATCCAGGGGGTCCAGGGGGTGTTGCGGCGAACCTCAGGGCAGGCCTCCAGGTTACAGGCCTTATACTCCTGGAAAACAAGATGGAGGAAACGTTTTACCATTAATGCAGAAGTCTAAACCTAGTTACTGCTGTCTGTTCTCCCAAAGCTTTAGGACCCCACTGTTTCAGTAATTCATTATGAACAGCTTGCAGAGACAGACTGCAACCTTAATACAGACTGCTAAACAGCACAAATATTACAGTTCTTTCTGGAGGGATTTTATTATGCAGCTAATTACTGTGTTTAATTGAACTATTTAAACTCCTCTGGTGGCTATGAAGAGGCAAAGCTTAAGACGGCATGGAAGGCTGCAGCTGGAGAAACACAATGATGCCTTTAGTCAGTTCTAAAGCAGTTGCTGAATCACTGAAAAGCAGAACTGATTGTGCGTGGGAAGACGGTGAGGGATCATGTCATATTTACAGCACTAGAAACAACTATATAACTTATTGCCCAGGGATTCTTGTAGGGCTGTACCCAACTCAGAATTCAATATGAAGATTTGACTCGACAGTCAGAGAAAGTAAAAGTGTGTCCTGCTCATATATAAAATCACTCTTGATGCAGCTAAAAAATAAAAGGGCAGAAATTCGACTGATAAAATGACTCTGGGTGCTTTTGACTGATGACTCAAATCACTGACTTTTAGGAGGGAAGCCCTAGATTCTCAGACAGAAAGCATAAACCTCTATGTGCATTACACCCTCTCTTTTTGGCTGCTCACCAGCAGGTTAAAAGAAGCGGCCCAGGCCAACAGAAATAGCTGGCAGGGCCAAGGAGCCATGGCACAAAATAACTGGTCATAAAAAATGGGGAGAAAAAAGTCCCATGGGGATTAATCTTTGATTTTAATAACCCAATAATCCAGTATCCAACAAGTAAAGCCTCAAGCATCTGTTATTCCAAATCTAAATTGTAAATAACTGGGTTAAATTTAACAAATTCTGTTAAACTCTATTATCTCCTCTGGTCTGGTACTGCCTACCCAAAGGGTCTGAAGCAGTGACATCTTTTAAATCACTTCTCAAAACATAACTTTTCAAAAAAAGTATTTTATTTAGTCTAGCACACTGTTTTATTACCGACATCTCCCATCTATTTTATAATTATTTTTATCATTATTGTTTTTTTATCCTATATAGTGTTTAGTATTTCATTGTTTTAATTTTAATTTATGTGCCTCAGCACAGTTCATTTGCAACATGTTTTATCTGTTTTATTGTTAGTATTCATCTGTACTGTTAGGGGTCTATTTATTCCACCTCACTTATGTAGCATCTTAATTGTCTGATTTTATTTTGCCTCACTGCCTACTTAATTGTTTTAAATCTTGGTTCCAACCATGTAAAGCACTTTCAAAAGTGCTGTATAAATACAGTATTTATCATGTTTGAAAAGACCATGACTTATTGGTATTGCCTGTGTGATCAACCAGGAACAGAATAAAAGATCAAACATATTTATCTTACAGTATATACAGAATTTTTGCCAAACGCTTATTGTAATTGGCCATATCAATGTTCAAGATGTTCTTGGCCAGACAAACAAATAACATTTGTCTTGGGGTGAATTATTTCATAAATACAGTATCCCACAGCAGAATGTTTTTGAAAATGAATCTATAAATCATCTGCATGGTTGTAAACATATTAACCTTGTGATGTTTTTAATATACAAGCACTACAGTACCATGGAACATCCAGGACAGCTGTTGCCATTCTCACAAACTCTGGTCCTGGAGTGGACGCCCCCTCCACATTCAGCACTGCAGTGAGCCCAGGGACCCCACGCCGTCCACAACACTGGCAGAGGACAGGGCTTCTTCTCATTGCACAGCCTGGAAACACAGACACAGTCATCCCTATCTAAAATATGTTGACTTTATTATGTAGCACTGATGGTTGGCTAGCCATACCATATTTTATTATTGCTGTTGGCGAAAACTGATCTCACCTCTCCTCTCGACCCTGGCCAACACAGATTCGACCACCGTGGCGTGGCGAGGGGTTGTTGCAGGACCGCTGCCGCACTTCAAATCCGATACCGCAGCTGCTGCTGCACTGGCCCCATGAAGACCAGGGAGTCCAGCCGCCATTCCTGAGCAACAGAACGCAGGATGGGAATTCTCAATCGTATTACATGTGCAGTGAGAATCCATATGCCTCCACTCTCATCAACCTTGTTTTCCAGCACCAGGAGTTGCTAAATGTTAATTTTAAAGATGATTAAAAGATAAAAGCGACATCTCACCACATCCTAAGTCAGATAAACATTAGCTAACTAGCCAAATAACAGTTGATGTAAATTGGTTACCTAGTTAGCTAGTGTTCTGCTAACATTATCTTTCAGATGTAACTACCTAGCTAACGACTGCTAACCCCAACCCTACTTGTGTTTGTTTCTGTTGCAAAACGTTAGCTACCTAGCTAACTAGGTAGTTAATTAACTTAAGATGTATTTGTCGCTTTTATCTTTTCACTATCTTTAAAATTTGGGGTTTTTTTTTCAAAATAGACAAGTGTAGCACATAACATATCTAAGTACAGGAAAGGAAGAAAGTTTTGACCAAGGCTTGCTCAACTGTTATTGGAGCACAGAGCAAAAAGGGGCGGGACTTAGGAAGGGTCAATACTGGTACATTGCGACAGCCCTACTTGAGATAATGAATATCTGCTTAAAGGGACTTTACCTGGAACAGTTTGCCACCTGGATAGTTGAGCCCTTACATCCGACCCCACCACATCGGGCCACAGGTCCGTCACACGAGCGGGACCGACACACACAGCTGCTGACAGAGCCCTCGCCGTCATCATGGTTACAAGGTTGCCATGGCGCCCAAGGACCAAACCCGCCATCCTGTGTCAGGTTCCTCACCTTCAGAGGGGATTTAAGTGGGGCTTAAAATCCATACCAAATGCATATGAATAAGTCACATGTGCCTAAATGCACTATTCTGGTCTAAATCTACAGCTTGGTGCCCTAAAAACTGTCCAAATTGGTGTATCACAAAAATATTACCATAACATTATTACTTAATGTACAGCTGTGAAAGATTTTAGACATTTCTCACAGAGGAACTCATGAACTCTTGATAAATGCAAGCATTTAAATACATTGTATATATAAGTCCAGTACACCAGGCTAACCAGGCATGTGTGTGTCTTACTGGGCACTCAGTGACATTTTGGGTCCACTGGTTCATGTTGGAGCTCTCCTCAATGGTGGTGCAGCGCTTCTGTTTGTGATCCCAGCCACAGTACGGGTCCCGAGCTTCCATGCAGTGACTGGTATGATTGCACACATTTAGTCAGTAATTGTTGCAGTTGCAGAATTATGAAGTCTCTCTGCAACAGAGCCTGTGCTATGAAATACTGATTCCAAATGACATGAAAAACTCTATTAGTCTGCACATTTCTACAGTCTATAGTCAGCAAGATGTATTAATTAATAACTTTTCTCTGTATTAAAGGACTTTGATTATGTTTCAACTAGGAGGGCTAGAGGGACTAATACTGAGAAACTTCTGTCCATCATACAATATTTTGTAAGGTTGTCAACATATTCTAGTAGTGCATTTATTGTCAACAAACTCATTAAATGCCTGGGTCTTGCCAGAATATGGACTGACAGTTGCAAATGCACTTTGTTTACAGGGAAAATAAACGGGGCTCTTAACATAATAATCTTTGTCAGCATTTAATGTGGGCCTTTCAGACTTGGCCACCCACGCGTGTTTGTCTCTTTAATAGCACCGAGTTCATAAATCTTTTTAAGTATTTTCAAGTCGAGTTGGTAAATTTGCACAATCACCACCAGCAGCAGCACACCTACAAAGCAGGCTCACTGCAACTCTTACTTAATGATTGACTGCAGGTAAGTTTCCTTGTGATCAATTATTTAAAAAAAGAGTCAAACTCTATAATTCGGTTACTCATTATCTGAAAAACACCATATCTGACATTGCTGTTTTGAGGCTCTGTTGGATCATACCGTTCAGTTGGGTAGCTGGAGCAGCGCTCTAGTGGGATCTTTACCAGTCTGTCATCAAGCCCAACAAACAAAGATCTGTCACTGTGGAGGATTTGCAGGCTCTTAATTGGTCCGATTTGCCCTTCTGGGAGGATCCTGAGCTCCTCCAGGTAGCAGCCATGAAGGCTTTTATTGGTTGTGGAGAGAGCCTTCAGGATGGTGCCGTATTCTGATTGGATGAAATGAACATGGAGAAAAGTTCTGAAAATGATCCAGTGCATTGCATAATTGACATCAATAAAGGAGTTCAAAATAAGCCAGAAGACCCTGTTTCTGCAGATAAAAAGGTGACAAACTATCTATATCTAATTTTAAATCAGCAATGCAACTGACTCTTTTTTGTTTTTAAAGTCTGCCCCAGCCCTCTCCCCTCCTGCTTACCAGTGCCGATGTACATGACATGGTAGAGGGTGTCTCGGCCCTGCACGATGTCCACAACCAGCTTGGAGAAGCGCAGGTTGTCCTGGGTGAGCAGAGGGTTGACAGTGACCGGCTGGACCACATCATTCATTAGGAAGAGTCGCTGGGCGTCCTGGAGGCTGCGCTCTGTCAGGTTCCCCCCGGGGCCTCCCTCCTCTAGTGTGCCACACTGCAGCCAGGAAGGAGAGATTAGTGTTCAGGACGTAGACTAAAGGGGGTTTCAGACATGTTTTGAGTCTGCAGGTGTCTTTTCAACAGAAGACATTTGACTTATCAATTGCTGGTGTAACAAACAACATTAGTGGGTATATTTCAAGTAGATGTATCAGTGCCAGGGCATTGGTTTTATGCATGTTAGCTTACAGGTGCACCTTAATGCAACAGAGGCCTGTTACTGACAGTGTAAGTATATGTAAATAAATTCAAATCTGAAATCGAAAACAACAAAACTATTGCATATATAAAGCAGAGATAGCTATGACACTCGGATTTCCCTGCAGCCCGATTTAAATGTTTTATATATGCATTGGCAAAACTTGGCATGCTCTTATTGTTGGAGGTATATTTGATGCAGCTGAACTAGAATTTTCTGTGCGCTGTACAACAATAAGCTATCTCTGTACTCGACACACTGAGATGAAATGGATGTCAGTCTTTTGAAAACTTGGACTAGGAAATTGAGGAAGGACAAAACTATCTGTTTAACATTCCCACATCTATCCACACCATCGTGTCAGAGAGAAAAACTGCTAGGTAGATGAAATCTTTTTTAAAATATGTGAATTACCTGAAAATTGGGTATTGGGTTTGGGGTGGAGAGCCAGGCAGTGCGGGGGTTCTCCTGGTAGCGAAAGGGTCCATTGAAGGCCTGGGTGATGGAGCTCATATTGAAGGCACAGACAGCAGAAGCTGATATACTGTTTCTGAAGAAAGGGAGGCCGTAATCACAGTCAGATCGCAGCAATTGAGAGAGAAAGAAGGCAAGAATTATAGAAATAGAGTGTCTAATAATCTCAGTTGCCAACAAAATGAAAGAAATCAATTGGTTTCAAATATTTACTGGCAGACTTTCATGAATTTCAGGCCTAATATATTGTAGAATATCTAGACAAAACTGTTGCATGTTTTGGAGCCATCAGAGGGCATTTGTGGTTTGATATAGTCCGTAATTGTTCTCATAGACAGTTGGGAGCTTCCCAGTCTATCAGCGCCTCATAACCAAACCAGTATGTGACTGGAACTAGGAGTCTGAACTGGTCCTATGCATTTTTTTCACACTTTTTGGAGCTGGTTTTAGCACTGAAATGCATTTTGTTCAGTGTGTATGAATGTGGTAATACCAGAGGTGTACAAGTAAGTCTTTGCAGTCCTAAACTCTGAGTTCCAAATCTTAAACAGGTCATATTGCAGTCTTCACCAAATGAGATTACCATTTTGACAACCGAATTATCAAAATGAAATGATCTTCGGTTTTATTTTTTCCACCTGGTGCTCAGTAACGGAATGTTAACTCTTCAAGGTTCTCTCTTGCGACTTGATTGGATTCTGATGGATTGGTTCAAACAAAGTCGATCTGGGGAATAATGGTGACCCCGAAAATTGTGTGAAAGCTGTCAAACATACAGTACTGTCCAACTTCTGTCTGTAATAGCGTGTAATGCTATCTGTTATCAACTGGTATTGTGAATAATGGCTAACCTGGCTAAAGCTTGGTTTTCTGACTTGTACTGGAACGTGATTAACTCGGGTGGGATATCATTCCCAGCTCCAACTTCCGACTACCAAGGTAAATGGAATGCAGCATTAGTGTCAACTTGCTGGGAATGAACAGAGCAGGAATTTGTGGCACACTTTTTTATCTTTGGGCTTCGGGGAAGGTATCAAGTATTTTCAGGACAAAAGGCTCAAGTCCAAGTGAAGTCACTTGTCACCGGTGTTGTCCAAGTCTTTTTTGATTTTGTCAAGTCGAGTCTAAAATCATCAAATCTGTGATTCAAGTCCAATTCCACACCTCTGAGTAATGTGATGTTTGAAATGATGCACCTATTGATGAACATTACTCACACATTAGTGGTGAAGATGCCATAGATCAGGTCCTGCTCTGGTAGGTAAAAGGTACTCTGCAGCTCGTTGTAGTAAAAGGGAATTTCTCCTGAGCGTGAGCAGTTAAGTCGGGCCTTCATAAAGGTGGTCCATGTGTCCTCCAAAAGGAAGCGTCCGCCCATGTCGTTCTTACAGACCCGCGCCACACGAGAGAACACCATCTTCCCGCAGTCGTTTTCCACTGCAGTTTCTCTCAGGAAGAAGTAGGCAAACCGACCGATCTCATAAACAGACACAAAATGAGGCTCTGAAACAAACATGAAAGGAGAAAAGATATGAAAGGTATGAAATCCACAGACGGGGATGGGAATCGATACGAGGCTGACAAAAAGGCAAATCAATGTGGGGCTTTGTTTACCGTTGAGCCATTTGGAGTTGTACTGGGCGGTGCGCAGGGGCGGCATGTTCCCCAGGCTCCTGTAGATGACGGGGTCGCGCCCGGAGAAGTCGATCACCGTGGCGGCATACAGCTCTCCCCTCTCCGTTACCATGGCGGTGGAGTTGTGCCGAGGGTCATAGGGACATCGGGCGACACCGTTCACTGTGTCCAACACCTGACTGATGTTATCAACCTGACGGGACAGTGTAAACAAAGATAAACACAAACAAATTCACAACAAACAAACAACTAATTAGAGGGAAAAAGCAATCTTCTGCTTCTGTTGTAGTTTGCGCGGCGGGTTGCAAATTGCAAAAAACATTTTGAACAAATAATTACATTCATTTAAAACTTTTAATTAATTTGTCAGGACAGAATGATGCAACCCTGAGCTACTATGATTTCCTAAATGCACAAGGCTGATGCAAAAATGTTCAACTCAAAAAGCATAGATTAATACATTCTAGAGGAGTGATGGGTGTCTTCAAAAGAATCGATGTATTTATATGAACACTTTTCAGGATCATTAAGCCGACAAACGCAATAATTTATTAGCTACATTGCAAAGAAGAGCCTCCTTTCTAGAGGTGAAAGAATTGGTCAATGAATCGATGATTCGATCAGTAGAAAATCAATCATTAAATGAAGTTCTTTATTGAGCACAAATGTTTTGTTTTTGCTGGTTCTATCTTTTCAAATGTGAGGACTTGATGCTTTTCTTTGTTTTTTATCATGTAAATGACTAATTGAACTGTTTGTACAACACAAGAAATGTCACCCTTGGATTTAATCAAATCTGTATTTTTAACTATTTTCTGAAAGAAATCCTTTTATTTTGAAAGAAAGAATCCTGGAGAGCTTTTTAAAGACGATACCAGCCTTTTTTAAAGCTGTTTAATATAATTTACATATACTTTACATTTAAATTGACAATTTTCAAAGTGAACCAAAGTGTTAAAAATTGCAGAATGTGTTTTTTTTTTACCTCCAAGCAGCAACTGGTTTGCATTCATCTGATTATAGTACAAAAACTTACTTGCAAAGGCTTTAGATTTGCTTGACTAATTGAGGCATCCTATTTTAATGGTGGATGATTCTGCTGGCTCTAGCTGCTCATTTGCTTCCTCACATCTCGTGATAAACTGTTGTACCAACCTGCCTGGTTATGCAGACGGGGGTGAAAGCATTGGTCCCGCATGTGAAGAGCCTCCTCCCGCTTATCAACAAAACCCGAATGTAGTTCTGACACTCCTCCTGCAGACAAACATGGCATTAATAAAGTGAACAGCCATTCCAGCCATAATGTATTGTATTTGTCACTGAGCGCGCTACCTCGGACTTCCCCTTGCTTTGACATGAGCGCTTTGTGTCTTCATCTGGGGACCAGTCTGTCGCCTGGGGAACAAAGATAAAATCATTTGGTTTTACAGAATTTGGTTGATTTACAACCAAATTACCATTAACAGCATCTCAGCACAGACAGGAGTTTAAGTAACTGCAATTAATGCAACAAATCATAAAGCACACATGGAACATTCATGCAAAGTTTAAAGGAATAGTATGAAATTTGGGGATTTTGTTCCTGAGAGTTAGATGAGAATACACTAAGTAACACACTATATTTTATGTGTTTAATCCATAAAAAACAAAGTGTGTGAATAGTCTAGCACAACAAAACGACATGGTGTCGTCTTTACAATTTGGATGTAATGTATTAATTAGAGAGCTTTACAGATGCAGAGATGTTACATTTGGATAGACTAGATGTTTCCCCCTGCCTTCCAGTCCTTACGCTAAACTAAGCTAACCAGCTACTGGCTCCAGTTTTATATTTAGCATACAGACATGGCAAGTGGCATTCATTTTCTCATTCTTAAGTCACAGCAAGTCAGCAAATAAACAAACAACAAAACACTAATTATATGGGAGCCAAAAACACACATAGAAGCAGAGATAGTATTATTACTTTTTATTAATTTTAAATAAATAAATATTACTAGTATGAAAGAAAACTGAACAGACCTAAACTGAAAGGGCTCTGTCTAACACAGTTTCTTATCTTGGTTAACGTTACCTGTATGAGCGAGGCGTTGCTCAAACTCAGTCTGAAGAGGAAGTTTCTGTAAAAGACATTTTTCATGTTAGAGGTAAAGCAGCAGAAACACGCACACTGCAGAGGCTTTAATATGTTCTGAATCTTGCTCTTGGTGTATTATGTTTCTTTTTTCTTTCTTGAACACTGTATATTGACAGCACATGTTGAATGGATGTAGATATATTTCACCTTGCCCCCACAACGAGCTGTTTTCTGCTCAGGTCCAGGGCCAGCTGGGAGAAATCCTTCACTCCTGGATGGGAGAACTCTGACACCCATGGCCTCAACGCTGGAGGGAGAAAAAACAAGAGGATGAGGAGACAAAGTAGTGCAAAACCACGACAGGAAGGAAGGAAGAGTACAAGGATGAGTGCAGACATAGAGGAAGAAAGCAGGACGGTGAGAAGAGGAGCAATGTTATTAAGATCCACTGTTTGTGTAGGAATCCTACTCCACCAAATGGTACCTGGCTCACAACTCCAGCCCTGGTTAAATCCTCAGTGTTTTTACTGCTGTGTCACATTTCTCTCCAGTGAGTCACCTTATCCCACAGTGACAGCTCCACAACCTCCCAGCAGCGTTTCCGCCTTATGCCAGAATGGAGGCTCAGTCCAGGGCTCCAAAACTTCACAGAACATGAATATAGATTTGGTTTTTAAAGTTGGGGGCCACAACTAAGAAGAATTAGAGTCAGGAGGTCTGCCCGCGGTCGAATGAAAGATTAATGAATGAATAATACATCCATTACATCCAGCATTTTGTTTTTTATTTTCCCATTCTGCAGGGTTGTATTAGAGCTCAAATTCTTCTTTATCTATATTTAACACCATATTTGTTAGTTTCTGGAGCCAGAAAATTCAAATTTGTCCAGTGGGAAGGAATCCCAGGTGTAGATAAATGGATGTTAGCCACACCACGCCTCATACACCAAAATATACCTCTCTTGAAATGAAATGCCATATCAAATTTATAGTCATTAAACCTGTAGAGAACACCAAAAATGTCAAACATAAAAGACTAGCAGACATGCAAATATTCCCAAAATGCACTGGCACTTTTCTATAACAGACTAGACACAACTTTAAATGAGTTTAAACTTAGCTGCACAATTCAAGACGACAGTTTCTTGTGAAATACTGCTGCTAAGTTAAAGCAATAGTCATAAACATGTGGGAAGATAGATTCCAACTCTCATACGTCCATCAAACAGAAAAGCAGCATGTTTGCCAGGGTGTAGGATTTAGTGGCATCTAGTGGTGACTTTGCAGATTGTAACTGAATACCTCTCACTTTCCAGGTGCGTAGCAGCTCGTAAAAAAACACAAAAGGCCCTATCTAGGGTGTTTGGTTTGTCCATTCTGGGCTACTGTAGAAATATTGCAGTTCAACATGGCGAACCCACTCCCTCTGTAGATAAAAAAGGTGATGATTTTTCTGCAAATAGATCCTCACTGGACCTTTAAAGCTAGGGTAGGTAATGTATTTCAGAAGCATTTTTAATTATATTTGTTGAAATTCTCTTGACATCCAGACATCCATCCATGAAATGCTCTGAAAAAAAAGAGAGAAAGAAATCTGGTATCTGCAGCAGTCACTGGACTGTAATAAACCGAGATAATCATTTTATTCAAAACGAATGAGAGCTGGCAGCACAAGCACAAGGCTGACCACGAGAGCAAAAGTCTAGAAAGAAGCAGAGGAAACTATAAACAAATACTATAAAAAAGTTATAAAATTTTACTCTTGAGATGATGTTGTTTTGCTTCACTGAGTTGTATTCTCTTCTACTCTCTTCAGCCTCTTATTTTTGTTTGATATTTAACTCCCCTAAAGAACTATTTTGTGTTGATTCTGGTGGCCCCTGTGGACAAAAGCGGTAGTGTTTCTACTGCCTCATTTTATTGATTTCAAGGGGAATCCGACTGAATCCGACCTGGAGGTAGAATCATTATATAAAAATGATATATAAAAAATAATAATATATAAATTTCCTAATCAATTAAAAACTCCTTGTAGTACGTTTAAGAGGTTTTGTCTGATTATATTGACACTACTCTGCTTCCATATACACTCACCTTGGTAGGAGACAACAGGATGTTCCTTTCTGCTACAGTCTGCTGGTTTGATATGAGGCTGCTGGGACAGACACACAGACGAACAGATGACCAGCACAAGGCCACCGGGGGAGAGGGCCCACGCCCCCAACCCTGACATGACCATAGTTACAACCACATCCAGTCTTCTACACAGTCCTCAGAAAACACCTGTTGGGACAGAGGAAACATCTGTCAATATAAGCACAAACATGACCATGATAAATGATTATTTATTTTTTTTACCAAAACATCTGTACACTTTGACAATCCTTATACATAAACTTGCACACCCTTCCCTGCTCTCTGTCTGCATGTCCATCCATCTAAATTAATTCTGCCAGTCTCCCCCAAGCCGAGCGTCCCTTTGCTGGCTCTGTTTGTCTCCTCTGGTTGTCCAGCCCCTCTGTGTCAGCAGGACTTGGTCATGGCTAATTCACCTCAAAAGGCCAGAGCCGCCAGTCTCCCTAATGCCGACTCTCACACCGAGGGTGCCATCAACAGAGATCTCTATGACTGAGGAGACCCATTCAAAGACGAGCTTGGACCCAGAGCCAAACAGAGGGTGCGAACTTTGAGCTGTGAGCCACATGAAGGGTCTTTGTGTCAACATCAAAATTCATTTACGTACATCAAATCCGCTCAGCAATGATAATCTGATGATGATCACCATAGGCGCTGGGATATATCGTTTTTCCACCAAATTAGCTCTGGTTCTTGAACCATTCAAATCCATTCCAAAGATCTGATGAAGATCAGAACATTGTTAGAAGCAGCTACGCCAGTCTTGTGTTGCTGCCTTACTCACTTCCTTTCCACCTCTGTCTCCATATTTATTTTACTTTCCCACATTTGTTCATGATGTCAGTAGTGAAGAGCTGAGAAAGCAATCTGAAGTTCCCTCAGTGATGCCAAATAACTTCAACAGTGAGGCCAACTGGTAGCTCTTTTCTCACCACTGTGTGCCTGCTAATATACGGACATCCAGGAGAAATCCAGCCCAGTCTTTGTGGACAAACCAAAGATGGCACTTTTGAATGACTTTCACATTTTAGAACCTTTAGAAAAGGTTTGAGAACACTTTAGATAATGAAACTGACCATAAACTAGAAAATGTTTTTGAAAGAAAGGTTTGTTTGCTCACTTATGCAGAAAATTGCAGGTGTAAACACTTCAAATAAGTTAAAATGCCTTTAAGTTGAAGTGGTGAAAGGGTCTGAAGTGTCAGTTGAAGTGTAAGAGCTAAAAGCATCTGAAATCAGCATTTGAAATTACAGTTTTATGTGAGGACTCAAGTGATGTCAGCTGAGTCAGCATAGAGCTTAAGACAACTCTGTAGCCCTCCATATCTCTGTTTGCGGCTAGCAGCTCATGGATACATTAGCCACTAATAACACAACACACAAACCACTGACTGAACTGTTGGGTGGTTGAGTGTTGCATTGTGGATAGGTGGTGCCAGGTTTTGACAAGGAAGAGGGTTGTATGGAATAAAAAAATACGGTATCTTTGGTTGTGATGGTGTTAGTATTTTTTAATATGGCAAAATCTTTCATTTACTAAAAAAATGAGTGAGCTCCGGTTGAGCAGATTGGTTAAGCTTCTTCCATTCCCATCCCACTTTACTTTAACACTTAAACCAGTTTCATTGCATCTGCTACGTGCTCTGGAGAATGGAAGCGGTGAATGTCTGTCTGTCTGTCCACCGCTCACCAGGAGGACTGAATGTGTGTGGAGGCTGTGGTTTTTCCAACCTGCTGGGTCTAACATTGCTGCTTAATGAAGCGACAGGAACAGAGCCTCCACCGCTGGGTCGCTTTTGTTATGTGGCAATGCTCCTCTCACCGTGCAAAGGCTGGCCAGTGAGAGGGCTATAGTGTTCTGGGATTTGTCTATTCAGTGCGAGGAGGGGGGGCAGCAGCAGACGTCAGTCAGATTCTTCAGGGGCACTAGGAAATGTACGGATGCAGAGTCTCACTGTGATCAACCTTGGCCTAAGACGAAGAATGCATGTTCGTCAGAGCCCTCCGAACGACCCACATGACCATAGAAAAAACGATTTATAGGAGCATTTTCAGATCTGCCACCTCTGTTAAGGGTTGGTTAAAGCTTATATATGTGAGATTTAATACATTAATATAACAGCAAACAGCTATTAGCTATGTAAAGATATAGTGGAGTCATGGTGTCCTGAGCAGAGAATGACATCACACTCCTTCGGCCTGTGTTGCTATCGCAGCCTGTGCTTTGTTTACAAATCCAGTCTGGCTGTGTGGGCATGTTAGTGGTTAGTTGGTAATTGTTGGAACAGTGGAAAGATAAACAAAGATGGTTTTGGTGAGTTTTATTTAGTTTCCTTGTATGAAGTTACGATGAAATGCAAGGTAAAAACACTGTTTTTGTCTATTGAGTGTGGTGGCAAGCAATAACAAAAAACGGTTTCTGGATAAACGAAAGATCTATCTCTGTAGGGATCCTTTCCATAAAGTTGTCAGACACTTACAATAAAAAGTTGGAATCTGTCAGTGTCTCATCTAACTTGGTGAATTAAGATTGGAAAAATAGTAGAAATACTAAAAAGTTTTTTTTTGGAGTTTTGTTTCATATCTGTGCAGTTTGAAGCATGTTTTATGATTGTCTGTAAAATTACTGGTTTTGTCAATGGAGTCTGGTCAGCCATAGTGTCCATTGTTTTGGTCTGAGATGGTGATGCTCTAGAGGCAAGTATGAATAATTTTAATCAATTATAAACGTCTTTGTTCAGGTTAGAAAAAGATTGTTGTCATGGTTAAAAGAAAATTGCTGTTGACTAATTTTCTCTTGATTGGCGAACTAATTGCAACAGCACAAGAGGTAAAATACACACAAGTCGGTGAAGTGGTCAGATCACAGTCTTCAATGAGTTTTGAGCACATTTCAGCCAAAAACACACTTCACTGTCAGGTGTGACTCACCAGTTTTGACTGAACAGTAGGAAGTAAAGGTAGGCAAACATTTAAGCCTGTTTTCCTGGAGCTGTGAGCATGTCAGAACATCCATTCATTCGTGTAGCTGCCTGCGTTGGAAAAACACCATAAAGCCTTAACAACCTGTGAAGAGATTAGAAATACAGACTCTCCGATTCATGTGACCTGTACGTGTTTAGAGTGTGGGAGGAAAACCACAGGAACACAGAGAGAACATGTGATCTCCACATTGGGTGGAAGACTGCCAAAATTTTAACCCTCTTGCTGCTATGAGTTCACCGCTGAGCCACCATAGCACATAAATTTTAAGACGTGGCTTCATTGAATCAATAAACCAAAAAATGACTACATATGCCTAGAATTTATCTTCCAGCATCTACTGCGGATCTGCTTGCCCTGTGTTTGCTCTCCAGACTAATCTCTGTGCTTCAGCCTGTCATTCCTCTGTCAGAGAGTTCGCTCAAACATCACGAGGAGTCCTTCACCTCGCTCTGAGGAAACACAGACTTTGGATAACTAAGGTGCTGCTGTGTCTCACAGGCCAGTGTGCTTCACCCTAAACACTTAATTTTCCGACAGAAACAAACATAACACAGAGCACAAAGGTTAACTTGTTCAACAGTTGTGAAAGTAAAACCTTATTTTTTGTATTAATTTCAGGCATATCCTGTGTTTGCAATGGTGCATAACAAATTACCGCTATCATCCTGGCATATATATATATATATATATATATATAATGATAACCATATTAACGCAAGTAAACCCTTTCAAAGAGATGAATTTTAACTATTATAATATTCAATTGGAATATGAAATGAAATATTCTTGGTAAAAAAACAACAACAAAATAATAAATAAAATGGGCTCAACACAAGCACTTACATAAATATTAAGCATTTGGCACAGGGGTAGGCTATAGAGCCATTCATTCCTTAACAGGCAATATAGTAATGGTTATGGAAAAGCTGCTGTTTCTGGCAACACGTTGGGGACAGTCTTAAACGATAAGTCAATACTGTGACAGGTGATAATTACATATCGCGTATATATGGTACAATAAGTCCAAACATAATTATTGTGACAGGATTCGAGCTTTCATGACCCAAAAATGAGATTTCAAACGAGGATGTTAACACCACTCTTCTCTGCCTCTCAACACTGGACTGAGTGTGTGTATACCTAATAAAATGTCTTATGTCAAACTGTCATGTGTCATAACATTAGAATTACTTTGGAACACGTAAATACCACATTATACCACAAATCCCAAATCATATTGGAATATGCACCTGCCACTACACATTTCCAAAAACTAGAACTCACGCTGATACTGAAAAGTTTTGTAAACGGCATTTCAGTCTCCAGTCTGGAGGAGGGTCTGTTTTCCATCACTTCTTGAGATTTAAACTAAGCCTGCAACAAAAACAGCTCACTGCGGACTTCTTCTTTAAAACATATGTCCATATATAGATAGTTTATCTGCCCTCTTATTTATTGCTAGCACTTGATTTGTTGCAATTGCTTCAAGATATTCAAGCCCTGTATGGTGAAAAGGCTAAACTATGTCCCCTATACACATTCTTATTCATACATACACAATACCAATGCCAAAAATGGGAGAGTTTAAAAACATTCACAACAACATCAGCTAATTATTAATGTTCTTACATAAGCACAGAAAGAGGAACTAACATGTTTTATAAGGATCCTTAAAGAATATTGACCAAGATATGTGCTTTTTTTTCATTGTTACAAGAAAACTCCACAGTGCACCTTTTAGCCGCCAGTATGCTTTATCAGAACTGCTGCTCGGATCCCCGAACCTACTAAGGTTGGCAGGACTAAAGTGTTTGGACAGAGTCTGCAGCACTTCATCACAGTTGTACAAAGTTTACACACTGCAGAGGCTTTTGTCAAGTTCTCCATTTTTCTCTCAGAAGACAGTTATTGGACTTTAGTGCTGGGAGAAAAAATTGAAAAGCCTGCAAGCTTGTCACAGTTACTCATCTTTTGTTGTTGTTGTTGTTTTCAAAGAAACACAATTCAAACCACTTCGTTGTGAGTGCTGCTGAGTTCAATGCCGTTGAGTTTTTAGAGTTTATAGCCTATGCATCAATCCCCCCCCCCCAACCCCACCCACACCGTCACAACCACCACTCCTGCAACAACTTCCAAAAA